TCTTTTAAAATATGCGGCCACGCTTGTATCTGTCTATTCAAAATCGTACATAATATGTATTATTGAAATTGCGTAGTATAGATACTGGTTCCTACACCGAGTTTTCACGATTATGCACCTGTAGTTTGAGGTAATGACATAGGAAAATACTCATATAGTAATTCTCCACAACTTAGCAAATTTCCAGCAAAAATATAGAGGACTACTACTGTGATTATGTTGAGTCACTGTATGTTCAAGAGATTAAAATAAAATAATAAAAATGTAGTTTTTCATTATTCCTTCATCCTACATTGCTGACACGTGTACAGCTCTTTACAAAGTAATATTTATCGAATAGTATATTAGACTGATGTACTGAGGCAGCTTTCAGTCTCGCTGTCTGCCTTGTCTCCATAGCCTACAGACAAATACTGTCATTTTGTATCTAATATTCCATACTATTATATCATCTTTGGTAAATTACTATAATAAATAAATTAATTTTCTCATATATACCCGGTCTTCCTGAAAGTGTACTTGTTAACAAACAAATTAGAAAGTTTGTATTATAAACTAATTATTTAATAATATTATGCCTGTCGAAATTAATTAGGTTGGGCACAGCACTGTGACTTAAGAGTTAGTGGTTTTTACTAAATCATTACTGTCGGAACCACAATCGAACTGCGGAAACCACAAAGAGATACGTTATGTACTTAAGTTAATTATTATTGAGTTAGTTGATTGGCTATTCAGTAACAAGTTACGTAAGCCCAAACTTCCGGCCACACTGTATGTATACTTTCAACACACGCTTTATTCGGCAGTAGCTGTATAGTATTCGTGTAGTCTATATCGTATAATAAAGTCTCTTTCCTTGACTGAATCGATCGTCTCCTTTATCCTGTAATTTCGATTCCCACATTTTTTGGTGTTTCCTTGACTGAATCGATCGTCTCCTTTATCCTGTAATTTCGATTCCCACAATTACTATATCTTATCGAACACCAATATTACACAACATAGCGCTATATTAGAAAACAACTTTATTGAAAAAAATGATGACATCTTTATTCCAGTTTGCAAGTTCAAAACACTGTCAATCTGAATCAATATCTGTTAATGTTATGGCAAGCGTTAATAATATTATATGTTTAATTTAAAACGTCTTGGCAAATGTACAAAGTATATTATACACGGACGGCAAAAGTGTTTTGAAAAATTCTGTAAATTGTTATCCAATAAACAAATGTTAATCTTACTGCACTTCATTTGTTTACTATCTTATATTAGTGCTCCACCAGCATGGAATGATTTATCCACTCAATTCAACACAGATGGAAATAGTTCTTCTCAACCATTTCATTCCCCGACCTGCGTTATTAGCTTGGACACAACTAAGATCAAGTAAAATTTATTTACCGAAAATCATACTAGTACTTTTATATAGATAACGTTATATTTTTATAGCATATACCATTTGGAAATATTAGTACGCCCCGAGTTCCGAGTCGCAGTTAGAAATTCGTGCAGATTTGTTGACAGAACTAGCTGCATGCCTGAAAATGTCTTTCCCCAAATCATTTACAATTATAGATGGTTTGGAATGGTAGATTTTACATCGGAGATAAGCCTTCTACTTTTCTGGAATATAAAGTAACCCTTCACCCCATGACATAACCCCTCCCCCACTACACCCCACCCCATGATAAAATAAACCGTACCACGTACCACGTACCATGTATTACTCGCGAAATTACAGCGAAGCGATTTTAACAAAATATAAAGACAAAATTGAAAATTAAAATTGTAAACCCATCCATATTTAACGTTGATTAATATACCGAAACAATGGCGAGGGTATTCTTGTTTTTTGTAAGAATGGTTTTCCAGGTTAAAATCATGCAATCATATTATATGTAGATTATATAATGTAACAAACATTCAAATTGAAATTATAGCTAACAATGTATCACGTAGATTGACTTGGATTCTAAGTCATTCTCCAATGACTGTGCTTTTATCTAAATCAATTGTGATTGGTTCTTAGAGAACCATGTTCTATAATCCCGTGTTCAATCATTTGGTTGGGTGATCCAAATGTTCAACTTCTTTAAGTGTGCCTTCTTTGATCCCCAGCTGTAGACAACAGAATAAAAAAGGACTTTGTGAAAAATCCAACGAATATTATACTTTTATAAAACGTGATATCATGTAAGTTACGTCGTTATGTTTGTTGTAAAAGAAATACAAAACTTACACACACACCACAGGGCATCTTCACTTCGACAGTATCATTCGATGGACCCTTCTTACTCAGTCTTAGCTCATATTTTCGTGGCTTGTCATCTATGGACTTGTCTGGTAGTTCTTGCATTGGAATGTCGTCGTCGTTCCCATTGAAACCAGCCTCTCGCTTGGCTGCCCATGTTTGATCGTAATCCGACGACGCGCTAATTTCTGTCTGGGGGTCTACACCAGGGGTCATTTGAAGTGCAACTTTTGCGGCTGAATATTTGTGATTTATATTTTTTGCAAATCCATTCCAGGTGTGTCCTAAAATAAAGTGTTTTGCACTTAACCTGAAAAGGATAAAGTAAGCAATTCACATTACTACATGGCGTAGAACAACAATTAATAAAACAGCTCTATCAGCTAGAATTGCATTATTAATTAACATTGACAACAGCTATACAAGTGATACGTCAAATCATCAATATAATACCACTTCTACTTACAATAAGCCCCCTGGAACTGTAGAACCTAACCATGCCTTGCCCTGGTTATCGGCAGTAGTGGATTTACAGTTGGGCAAGCAGAAATCGGGAGTAACCCAATATTTGTCTTTTTCCAGTTCCGGCACCATGTCGTAGCAGTCGTCGACGATAAGCAGGCCAATCTAGAATTGTAGCATGTGGAGACAATACAATGTAATCGCGTATGATGCTGGCAATAATAACAATAATAGGTCAGGTTTTGGAAATTAGATAAAAACATACGAGTGTGTACGCGTGTGAGATTGTAATTTAAAGCGCGGTGGTCTTCGCGCAGCGCGTGTTCGAATTTCATGTAAATAAACAATGTATTTTACACGCGTTGTATACGTCACTATGAGTCCCTTATCGAACAGGACGCGGCACGACGACTGCCGCCCTTTAACGTTGATATTCACCATTCAATCCAACAATCTGTGTGCTTTCAGATGTATGCATAGTCTCTTCTACAACGCCGGAGACAAACGTCAATAAATACACACTCATGCACAATTATTATTGACTGTAAATTGAAAATAACGTCAAAATAAATAGTGCCAATCGTCGGGATATAACGTGATTATCCGCATGTAGTTTTAAAACTGGCAAATAAATTAAATAATCAATATGACTTTACAATACATTGCATCTTAGAAATTGTAAGTTCTATTATGAGGTTATGACGAGTATACCTCAGAGTATGTACGAAGGCAGTACAGTGATCGTATTGACTAACCCGTAGTAAAGTTTTATGTGATCCCGTGCTGCCTGAATATGACTGGGTGGTAGACATTGACCTAAGAATTGAGAAATGGAAACTGAGGACTAACCTGATAAGTACGGTCAAGTATATAATTAATTTCAAAATCGTCATCGTCATCTCCATATGGGTTTATAATGACTTCCGCAACCTGTGGAAGTGCGAAACAATCGAAAACTTATTCCAAAACACGGTTTTGCTTATCGTGCTGTGGATGGTTGAAAAATGATGCTGGGTGCGGTTTTATTTGTTAATATCACGACAGGAGCTGTATGTTCAACATTTATTAAATAACCTCCCAGTTAAGGCATGTGTAATTAAAGGCTTGTTTTAATTGACAAGACATTCTCTTAAAAAAAAAACAAATAATTCCTCATTTTATCACATATGGCATAGTTTACAAATACGCAAAATTAAAAAAAAAATAACATATGTTCAGATAGGTTTCAGACTAACGTGGGTGATGACGAGCATTAAAACATATTTTTCGTTTCTAATAATGCAGTAATGACTCGAAGTCTCACAAATCATAATCCGTGTCTCTCACAACTACATCATTTCTCCAGAATACATCAGTGTAAATTCCCAGTTAGAATTCATGTATCAAACAACTAAACCGTTTATCCGGAATACACCAATGTAAATCCATTATCAGAACTCGTGTATCACACAACTACGCAATGAAATACACCTGTCCCCAATCATAATCCGTTTCTTACACAGCTACACTGTTTATCCATAAGATACCAATGTAAGTCTCCAATTAGAACTCCAATTAGAGATATATTTCACACAAATATATCTTATATCCCGAAGATGCACCATTACCTACCTTCAACCAGCCAAAGTAAAACAGAAATTCAAACACCAGTATAATCGGAAAGTAGAGATCAACCTCGGTTGACGACTCCAGAAACTGTGAGGAAAATAGCTTTGCTAAGAAGAATGTATACGTCGCTATAGTGACGACCTGGATAACCAATCGATGAAAAAGAATGTTGAATAGTCAGTGGTGTTCAATGTACGAATTTGTCGTTAATGGCAGCATAATCGTTATCGGACCCAGCCGTACACGCACATCAGTGAGTGCCGATTTTAACACGTTATCAAACGCAGTAAATGACACGGTATACTAACTTAAAGTGTAACTGAATTGGGCTAATTGACTTTTTTGTGTGCAAAATTTATTTATGAACAACATTATGAAAAAAAATCAAGTGAAAAGGGTATATAAATTGGGTAAACAGTCAATGATATTCCATAACCGGGCCACGCCCCCCTCTCCTGTCACCTTCGAGTTTTTTCGGCATTACGAGTGTTGCCGAAATGGCGCCACCAACGGGACCATAAAGCAGGATATTGCCAGTAGACAAGATTGTTTACCATTTTCCATACGCAAGCGTTTAGTAAACCAGCATACAGTATGCAGTACAGTTCTCGCGAAAGCTTTGGCTTTTGTGGCATCATTGTCGCCTACGCACGGCTTCATTGTCGCCTCAGCATCGCATCATTGTGGCATCAGCTCCGCGTCATTGAAAA